CCTTCCTTCCCTGGATCTCCTTAGGGGGGCTCCCAATTCCCCTATTTGGTCAGGGCGGTCCTGAAGAATAATAGCTCACAATCCAGTGAGCCACAAAAAAGCCTCTAAGTGCAGTATTTCAATTTGATTCGGTTTATTAAAGAGAGTAAAAAAGGTTTCACTCACATTACAGACACTCTTTCCTCTTCCCTGATGTGTGGGTGTACTGCATGTGGCTGGGACCTCTTGGGTGTAGCAAAATGGCGTCTCCCGCCGGAAATGCGTCACCACGCACCGGAACTACAAACTCGCGTACCTACGCGTTACGTCACCTTCCACTCGTGACTTCATCTGGGTCATATATATATATAGAAGCAATTGAGTCCTGACGTGATACTTTTTTTATTTGCACTAACATACAATTCTGAGGACAATATTTCGGGGTCCCCTTCTTCAGTACTCAATTGTTTCTGTCGCACTAATACGGCTACAATCACCTCAAGCATATATATATATATATATTTTTATATATTGAATATGGCCAAAATTTTAGTATTTCAAATATACCGGTATGTCATTATATTTTGGAAGAATATTTTTTAAATATATTTAAAATATGTTTTTCTTCCATGTGGGGAGGGGGGGGGGGGGGGGGGGGTTCTTCAACGCTAGAGTTGGGCTCTTAGTTCCCATTTCTGTTCTGTTTTCTTCCACCAACAATATATTGGGCGATGGGCACCAGGTGTTCCCAGACAGCAATATATACAGCAATCAACGCGCAGAAGACAAGAAGCGGTTTTGTTGCAGACGGCAGATACGGATATTGTGGCTAATGTGTTCTATCAGCATATAGATTGGCGCTCGTACGCCGGGATGGCGGCACGCGGCACGCTGGAATGAAGCGCTGTAATAATAACAATAATGGGAATATCAGAAGATGGCTCCGAGGATAATTACTGCAGCAGCACAAGACCAGGACACTGAAATTCACAGATTAGTTCGACTTCAACAAAAATTATAATTAGATGCTAATTGGTCCGGCCATTAAGTGTTTACTGGAACAAAGAAGGAAAATCTGAGCCGGCTATTTAAATCTCGGCTTAATCACAGGACGGCTCAACAGGATGCTGAGCTCCGGGGACTCAAATCACCAATTTAAACTTTTCAAAGCCAAGGAAGTTGTTCTATAGAGTGTTAAAGCCGAACTCCGGGAAAACGAAGATGAAATGAAATACATGAAAGGGAGCGGTCTTAGCTGTCATCCAGTCCTGGTGTTTGCACAGCTTTGCCACACAGCCCAGGAGCCCTGCTCTGCTTCTTCCTCTCCCAGTCTGAGCTCTGCTGTACAGGGATTGCATGATGCTGATATCGAGTCAAATTTAGGTTCATACTCTTAATGATTTATTCCTGAATACAGAGTTACATTATTGGTGTCTTTTATATCTGCCTGGAGGGTAACTCTATAGGGATTTGCATGGAACTGGACACGGTATGGCCAAAAATGTGTGGACATCTGACCATCAGGAGCGGACTGACCATTCGAGCACTCGGGCACTGCCTGCCCATGGTGGGAGCAACTCCATATTAATGCCCATGGTGGGAGCAACTCCATATTAATGCCCATGGTGGGAGCAACTCCATATTAATGCCCATGGTGGGAGCAACTCCATATTAATGCCCATGGTGGGAGCAATTCCATATTAATGCCCATGGTGGGAGCAACTTCACATTAATGCCCATGGTGGGAGCAACTCCATATTAATGCCCATGGTGGGAGCAACTCCATATTAATGCCCATGGTGGGAGCAACTCCATATTAATGCCCATGGTGGGAGCAACTCCATATTAATGCCCTTGGTGGGAGCAATTCCATATTAATGCCCATGGTGGGAGCAACTTCATATTAATGCCCTTGGTGGGAGCAACTCCATATTAATGCCCATGGTGGGAGCAACTTCACATTAATGCCCATGGTGGGAGCAACTTCACATTAATGCCCATGGTGGGAGCAACTCCACATTAATGCCCATGGTGGGAGCAACTTCACATTAATGCCCATGGTGGGAGCAACTTCACATTAATGCCCATGGTGGGAGCAACTTCATATTAATGCCCTTGGTGGGAGCAACTCCATATTAATGCCCATGGTGGGAGCAACTTCACATTAATGCCCATGGTGGGAGCAACTTCACATTAATGCCCATGGTGGGAGCAACTCCACATTAATGCCCATGGTGGGAGCAACTTCATATTAATGCCCATGGTGGGAGCAACTCCATATTAATGCCCATGGTGGGAGCAACTCCATATTAATGCCCATGGTGGGAGCAACTTCATATTAATGCCCATGGTGGGAGCAACTTCACATTAATGCCCATGGTGGGAGCAACTCCATATTAATGCCCATGGTGGGAACAACTCCATATTAATGCCCATGGTGGGAGCAACTTCATATTAATGCCCATGGTGGGAGCAACTCCATATTAATGCCCATGGTGGGAGCAACTTCATATTAATGCCCATGGTGGGAGCAACTCTATATTAATGCAAGACTGAAGGGGAGGAGCCGTTACACATGTGCAAGACTGAAGGGGAGGAGCTGGTACACCTGTGCAAGACTGAAGGGGAGGAGCCAGGACACCTGTGCAAGACTGAAGGGGAGGAGCCGGTACACCTGTGCAAGACTGAAGGGGAGGAGCCAGGACACCTGTCAAGACTGAAGGGGAGGAGCCAGGACACCTGTGCAAGACTGAAGGGGAGGCTGGAGGTCAGTGCATAGCAAGTGGACCTGATTCTTCCAAGTAAAAGATTACAGAACAAATTATAAATTCCATGAACTGGATCAATAAGTAGAACAACATGATGTGCCATGACAGGACATTGGCTGAAAATACAAGTCACCGGAAAGTGTTTTTACTGCCTGGATACAGCCGAGGTCTGTGTGGAAACTTGGGAAGTCTTCTCACCTGGAGAGGCCACCCATTGATTTGACATTTCCACATAATTGGCTGAATTCTGAGGACTCGGGGGAAGCTGAAGGATAATCCATACTTTGCTGACAAAAGTCATGGAAGGAAGTCGGGTTTGTTGATTGTGAACCTCCTGACCTCTCGAATGTAAAGATCACGATGAACCGTCTTTGGCTGGCTGCAAATCACGGCGTTACTTGATTTGTTCTGTGATAGCTCAGCTTCCAACGGGACTCAAAGTGAAGGAGAGGAAAACTGGAGTGATTTTATAACAATGGGCAAATCTAAATTGGTTCCTTTAAAAACATGACATTTCAGAAAATGATCTAAGACTTAAAGAGGAAGAATAGTATTTTTTATCACCCTGCCCCTCCCCCCTCTTACAATACCGCATTTAAAGCTGTACCAAAGGTGATGCAAAAGTGGGCATAACTTTCTATGAACTTACAGAGGTCATTCAGATTCCACATGTTGGTGGAGAGAAACTCTTCTTCTATAATAACGCCTCTTCTTCTTTTTCACTGCAAGTAAACAATGGATTCCAAGCAGCAGCAACCGCCATGGTTGAGTTCCTGATGAAGGAGAGGTGCCAGCCGTCCAACAGCCACAGAAGGCTCCAGAATGTCTAAGGAGATGACGCCATTAATCAGAAGTTTGTAGAGAGGAAAACCAGCATGGAAGGCCAACCACACAATGGGAGATCATCAACTGCTACTCCTGACACGAACTGTCGGCAAGACAGATTGATTTGTGTGGGAAGACAAGTCCCAATCCATGAGCTTTCTGCACAATTGGGTTGTGATCTCAATGCCATACACAAGATGGTGGAAGACTTAGGGTATCGGAAAGTTTAAAGTGGGCACCTCGGCAGTTGATACCAGATTTGAAGGAGAGAAGGGTGGAAGTCTGCTCTGATCTGCTGGAAAGATAACAAATCAGTCAATGGCAGGGGCGGACTGACAACTCGTGGGGCCCCCGGGCAATAGGGGATCATGGGGCCCCTGTGTCCTTGCCCAAACTCAAAAAAAAGCCTATGAAAAAGGTACCAGGGGCATCTCACGGGGCCCCCTACACTGACCCCGGGCCCTCGGGCAGTGCACGAGTTTCCAAATGGTCAGTCCGCCCCTGGTCAATGGAATGGTTTCCCACCTCTTCCCCAAGTTCCCTAAGAGGTTCAAGAGCCAACAGTCAGCAAAGAAAGTCATAGTGAACGTCTTTTGGCATCCTTCTCTTTGATTTTCTGTAACGAGGCTGTACAGTGACCAGTGAGCTGTACCATGAGACATTTAAGAAGCTTAGAAAAGCCATTAGGAGGAAAAGACCAATCAATAATCTGAAAATGATCCACATTCACCTTGACTAAGCACGGCCACACACATCCGTGGCAACAAATAAGGCGTTCAGCAAATTCAGCTGCTTAGTGGTTCCTCATCCACTGAACAGCCCAGATTTATCGCCATCCAAACCCCACCTGTCCAGGCCAATGAAGGGCAGTCTTCGGAGACAACGATTTGATGACACGGAGGAAGTGAAAGTGCCCGAGAAGACGTGGGTACTACCAACTCGTTAGGCAAACTTGAGCTTCCCCATTCTATACAGTGCATGGACTTAGCCCTCCTATTCCTTTCATCCAGCCTGGACTCACCCCCGTTGATTGCCTTTCAGTTATGTTTCTTTTCTTTATGTTGTTTATGGGAAATTTAGCAGATGGCAGTACCATTGTACTATTGCCTCCTTGACGTCCTCACGTAGGCAGTAGTATGTTTCTTGGAGTCAAGCGTTATTCCTGTCATTCAGGTTCCCCTTGAAATCCCCTTATTGAACCATTGTACTATTGCCTACTTGACGTCCTCACGTAGGCAGTAGTATGTTTCTTGGAGTCAAGCATTATTCCTGTCATCCAGGTTCCCCTTGAAATCCCCTTATTGGACAGATTTACTGTCACCAGTTTGACCTTATTTTGGTCTTCTTCATATTAGGCTGTACTGGGAAGGCCAATGCCAGCCGCAATCTACAAGGCTGATTTCCTCTGTCTGCATGAGCCTGTGCTCATGTACGGCCCACGTGCCCTGATAATTTAGGTTGATATGTTTGTGACTATTAAAAGAGAAGTGGATACAACAGAACACAGCTGAATATTTAGAAAGAGGATTCCAGAGTTGGGATCAAAGATGGCGCAACAAATGCATCTCTTCGGATGGAGACTATGCTGAGTAGTACCTTTGTCTAAATCAGAAAATTTTATTGGCCTCCCTAGGAATCAGTGCTAATCAGGGCAGGGCAGCAGCAATTTTGGGGCTCTTTATACAGCTTTACGCCTGGGACCCCTGGGCCTGACCACCAACATTCCCCAGGGCCCCCCACTGGCCATCCCACAAAGGCCCATCCCATGTCCTCCTCCTTATCCATTCCACGTCCCCCATTCCATGTCCCAGGAGAAAAGCAACGGGACAGGTAGGGGGGCATGACAGTAGGGGTCATCTCACCGCTACTTTTACAAGGTAATAGCTGGGTCTGCGCAGGCATTTAGGGCACTCACACTGGATCTATATTCGATGTGGCTGCAGATGACAGATTTTGTGCCCATGATTCGGCTTTCAGAGCCTTCAGTAATGATGAATAGAAATCTGCATTCCTGGTACATTCCTCGGGACTCGTACAGCGAATCTCACAATGTAACATGTAATCGTTATGACCGGAGCATGAAAGCAATTGTTACAATTCCCGGAACAGCAATGAATTGGAAGTAGCAGGAAATTGTCATTTCTGAGTTATTGCAATTTTCTGCGGATCCGGAACGTCTGCAGATGGGTTAGTTCTTCCTCTGAGTCCCTTTCACATGCAAAACGCGGCAATTTCATTCAATTAGCTGCTGATCCTGGAAACGCTACACTGAGTAAAAATGCTGCATCTGAGACAGGGTCAGAGAGTAACACCGTATCATGGCAATGTACATGCTGAGATATGTCATGAGGAACGTTAAATGTATGAAAAGGAAGTGCAGGGCCACCAGCACACAATGCAGACACACTGGCAAGGCTGGAAAAGGCTTCTCATAGGAAGGGGCAGGTTGGGTGAAGGACATTAGATTGTTCAGAGAGGACAACCTACAGGGTTCTGCATGGGTGGATACCCTGGGTGGAGACCTGCCCTTGGGGGGGGGCCTTAGCTTTTGGTTTCCACCACTTAGGTGCACAATTTTTATCGCACTTTTCTACCAATGTGGATTTTTGCTGCGAGAATGCCATAGTGTGAAATAATGGCTGTTATGATAATGGTTGGATTATGAGTTCGGTTTGCTTTTTAAGGTCAAAATAAAGTCGATATAAACCTTGAAATACATTACATGGTCAACAATTTGTGGACACCTGACCATCACTCATATATGAGCTTGTGAGACATTCCATTCCAAAACCATGGCCATTAATATGGAGCTGCCTACTCCCCCATGGCCATTAATATGGAGTTGCCCACCCCCCCATGGCCATTATTATGGAGATGCCCACCCCCCCATGGCCATTAATATGGAGTTGCCCACCCCCCCATGGCCATTATTATGGAGATGCCCACTCCCCATGGCCATTAATATGGAGTTGCCTACCCCTCCATGGCCATTATTATGGAGATGCCCACCCCCCCATGGCCATTAATATGGAGTTGCCTACCCCTCCATGGCCATTATTATGGAGATGCCCACTCCCCATGACTACTAATATGGAGTTGCCCCCCCCCCATGGCCATTAATATGGAGTTGCCCACCCCTCCATGGCCATTATTATGGAGATGCCCACCCCCCCATGGCCATTAATATGGAGTTGCCCACCCCCCCATGGCCATTATTATGGAGATGCCCACTCCCCCATGGCCATTAATATGGAGATGCCCACTCCCCATGACTACTAATATGGAGATGTCCATTCCCCATGGCCATTAATATGGAGTTGCCCACCCCCCATGCCATTAATATGGAGTTGCCCACCCCCCATGGACATTATTATGGAGATGTCCACTCCCCATGGCCATTAATATGGAGTTGCCTACCCCCATGGCTATTATTATGGAGATTCCCACCCCCCCCATGGCCATTAATATGGAGATGCCCACTCCCCATGACTACTAATATGGAGATGTCCATTCCCAATGGCCATTAATATGGAGTTGCCCACCCCCCATGCCATTAATATGGAGTTGCCCACCCCCCATGGACATTATTATGGAGATGTCCACTCCCCATGGCCATTAATATGGAGTTGCCTACCCCCATGGCTATTATTATGGAGATTCCCCACCCCCCCCATGGCCATTAATATGGAGATGTCCATTCCCAATGGCCATTAATATGGAGTTGCCCACCCCCCCATGGCCATTAATATGGAGTTGCCCACCCCCCATGGCCATTAATATGGAGTTGCCTATTATTATTATTATACAGTATTTATATAGCGCCAACAGTTCGCTCAGCGCTGTACATTACATTGGGAGACAATACATGAGACAGTACAGTAACAATACAATGCGATACACGAGGCGTTCGAGGGCCCTGATCCTTGGAGCTTACAATCTAGGAGGGAGGGGATGGTGGTACAGGAGGAAATAGCTGTGGGGGATGGAGTGTTAGGAGGAGTGGAGGAGATCGGCAATTAGGTGAGGGCGGGGTAGGCTTCTCTGAAGAGATGGGTTTTCAGGGTGCGTCTAAAAGTGAGGAGGGTAGGTGACAGTCTGATGGATTGGGGTAGTGAGTTCCAGACGATGGGGGAAGCCCCGGAGAAGTCCTGGAGATGGGCATGGAAGGAGGAGA